TTTTTTCCAAGCTGCTCTGGGGACACATTTGAAGGCCAGTATTGTGGTCTCAGCAAGCAATGGGGCTGCCGCCAAACCTCGCTTCCTTTGCTGATTTCTTGCTGCTTTAAAATGTATTTTCATCAGTTGATCCCGATTTTTCTTCTGGTTTCTTGCCAGATAATTACCACACAAATGAAACTATGCTTTGCACAATGCCCTGGAAACAAGAGTTGAGATTTTAAACACAGGTGGAGAATAGAGGAGACACTCTGATAAGCGACATACAATCAGTAACATGGGGTGACAGAAACGAACTGAACTTTGTGAGGCCACAACTTTAAAAATATTGTGTTGCTAAAACTAAAAAATGAATCTCATTAATTTTGCAGACTTAGTCACAAATGCCTAATCTGTTTTCAATAGGTTGGGCTAGCTGATCTCTGCCTCCATTATGTTTGCCTTTCTTCAAGCAACTCTGCTTGAAAGTCTTCTCTGCTAACTGATGAAAATCAGTGCGCTAAAACAATCCATTAAAATCAGTTTAGACATAAAGCTGATTTTAGGGCATGAAATCAAAGCATGAGAAAGTGTGAGCACAACCATTTGGAACGTCCATGTGAGGACTATCATTTTTTCATGGTTAACTTTTGTTTAATCATACGGAGGCCACAGAGCTCTCATTTCTGATTAACAATGGAGTGTCACTCCTGTTGCCGCCCTCCAATGAACACCATACTTCCTTTCACCGAGGAGAGATGCTTCTACTGATCACCTTTGCAGAAGCCTGTTGTTTCTCTCATGCAGGCCTATAAAATAGCTACACTCATTTGAACAACTGCTGCCGCTTTGTTAAAATAGCTTCTGGACCTTGAACTCACTAGAAATAGCTAATTCAGATATACTCAGAAGATTACATGGATCCACATTTGTGTATAAAAAGCTCTACTGAGTAAATAACATTTCATTTGATAGACTTTGTCCACTCTTGGTTTCACACAGTGTTAAGAAAACATGCTGAAACACTTTCAGCTAAACTAGTTCCTAGCCAGTGAGGAAAAGGCCAAACTGCCTTGAAAGATAGTCAGACAATTAAGAGCGAAACTCACAATTGGTAAATTATGAGATTCTTTAGTAACATTTTTAGAAGTTCTGAAGCAGTATGATATTTAACGGGAGCAACTGTATATCAATAAAACCCCCCACTAATTATTCACAGAGAGGGCAGAATGGCACCCTAGGGCATCTTTACACATGCTCTGGGCGGGGGGGTGGGGTGGGGGGGTGGCGCTTTAATAAGAGCAGCTCTGAGAGCTGCTCTAATTAAAGCATCTGCAACATCACGTATATTCAGCGTCCCATGCTTGAAAATAGTGGCAGGGGTGCTTTTACTAAAGTTTGTCAAATGACTTTTAGTTAAAACACCCCCGCCGCCATTTGAAGCACAGGGATGCTGAATACATGTGATACAGAGGCTGTTGGAGTGTGCTAATTGGCACACATTGGAGCAGATATCTGGCACATGTATAGGTGCTCCTAGACTAGAGTCTAACCAGTTCAGAGAGACATGAGCTTTCATAGCAACAGCTTACTTCACAGGTGCCTTCCTGCCTGACTTGAAATTACCACAGTTAACCACTTCTCTCTAGTTATCAAAGAAGATTGTTCATTGGTTATATACTTTGTAACAGATGCATGTTAATTCCAGCCCAGATCTTGGGGCTCTCAAAAACTAAACTGAGTCAGGCCAGGTCAGTGCTTGAATAGGAGGACTTCTAAGATCTCCACATGCTGCAAGTGATGCTGGTGATGCAGTGATGTACCACTACTTTGACTGAGCCGAACCAATGCTCCAACACAACTGAAACCAGTCCAAGATGAGTCAAGAAGCACATGGCATGACCTTTTGTGTCACTTTTCCAGACATTTTATCATTCTTCAACAAGCTTTCCAAAGAAATCTAATCCAGCTTTAGAACAGAGAGACTGGGCATAGGTTATGGCAGAGACGATGAAAGAGGCAGAAAAATAAAGACTGTACCAAATGTTGGCATAATTTAGTATACTTTGAAATTTTATGAGAAAGCTTAATTGCATTCCCTTTGTTGAAGTGTTTATTGGAAGTGAACTCTTAGACAGGTTTCCTATAATTTCAAGCTGTTTAGTGATTTCTCATACATCAGAAGCTAAAATGCAGACAATAGATCAGTTATTTTTCAAAATTGAACATTATCATCTAGTAGGAAAGTACACAAGAACCGGTGGTCTCACTCCCAACTCAGAATGTCATCATTCTTATCATTCACTGGAAGGAATGTTATCATTTGGCAGCAGATCAGACTATTATCTGTGTGCAAATAAGTCATGGCCCATGTAGATACCTGTAATTATCTCAATAAATATTTGTGGCTTTTTAAGGTAGGACTATTCAAACATGCCATCTCTATGGCTTTTATCATTCTGTAGATCAATATATAAGAGTGATTCCTTCATGGTCCCACACATTTCCTCCCAGCATCTCAGTTCTTTCACTGCTTAGCTCTCAAAATACATTATTCTGTGAACCAGCATAATGAGCTCTGTGAAATGCTGGTGGTCCAAAGAGCACAGTTTGAGAAGCATTGCTCTAGAATAAAATAAATACCCATACTATTTAGGAATAGAATAGATTAAAAAATCTGTAAAATTCCAAAATGGTGAGCCTGGAGACTGAAGTTACATTTATCTAAGAAAGAGGAAAGAAAATTTTCTTTGAATGGAAGGTGACTCACTTCATTTCTAACTTTAAGAGAATGCCAGTGAAGATAAAAATTTCCATATAATGTCTATTCAATCACTGGCCTCTGATAGATGACAGAAAATACGTTAATTGGTTTCACTTCTAGCATGTGGAATGTGAGCATCTGATCAATTAGGAACTTGACTGAAATCATCAATTCTTGTCACATAAGTTAGTGAACACCTAGGGTGCCTGTAGACATGCAGGGAGACTGCTCCAATGCGCTGTAATTACAGTGCGTCAGAGCAGACTAAATTAATCAAGCCTGCTAGAATGCATGTGCAGCCTCCGTGTCTCGTGTATTCAGCACCCTTGCACTTCAAATGGCAGCGGCGGTGGTTTAACTAAAGTTTGATGAATGAGCTTTAGTTAAAGCACCCCCATTGCCATTTTGAAGTGCAGGATGCTGAATACACAAGATGCTGCAGGTGCTTTAATTAGAGCAGCTCTCAGAGACACACTAATTAAAGCAACCCCCTCCCATCCCTGGAGCACATGTAAAGATGCCCCTAGATCAGGGGTTGTCAACCAGGGGTATTTGGGAAAGGGCCTCAGGGGGTATGCGGTGGCGGTGCGGAGAAGTGCGGGTACTTGGGAAGCGCACCGCCACGTGCTGCCACCGCTGCCACACACCTGTTGCTGCCTGCAGGCCGCGGCTCATGGTGGCAGCAGGTGGGGGCACATGGCAGCAGCGTGCAGTGGCAGGGGGGGGGGGGGGCGCGCCCCCCCCCCCCCCCCCCCCCAGCACCCTCCCCCCCCTCCATCAACCAGCCTCTGGGGGACCCCCCTCACACGCTCATCCGTAGGGTACAGTCCAGGAGGGGTACCCACCAGAAGGGCACACTTCTTAAAAAAGGTTGAAAACCCCTGCCCTAGATATTAGTAAACTTGAATATATTTAACAATTGATTTTGTAGCCCTTTCTAGTGGTATCTTAGGATAATTTTGGAATATTGAGACAATAATAAAGGAGCAGTCCATTATCCAAAATACTAGGACTATTGTTAAGGATACGCTTTTGGCTAAAATTATGCAGGTAATTGTATAGTGAAATACATATTGGTTACTATTAGCTTTCGACATCATCATGACACTTTCTGATCTATAGGGATAACCAGAAAAGAGAGATAATTACTGGTGCCACCAAGTAATAAAAAAATCTAGATATTCTTAAGTGAACCTTCTCAGCGGGCACGTTTACACAGGTACTAACTAAATACACAGTAACCAGCACTACTGCACAGAAGCGCTGGTGCTTACCTTTTCAGTGATGCTAGTGCACAGTAGACTAATTCTAAAGTGCATTAGCATGGCTTTTGCTGTGACATGCTAATAAGTAGAATTAATCTACTGTGCATTTAGCATCTTATGGAGAAGTGCCCAGCTTCTCCTAAAAAAAGATGGACACAACAGTTTACAAATTAATAAATAGATTGTACATGCATTGCGGTATAAAAGTTATATAATTTTATCTGTAGTTTCTTAGTCAAGCTCTTATGGTATTTTCTTTTCAAGACACAGCAGAACACTAGGACAAGACCTTATATTTCAACAGAAAAATAAATGTCTTCTATATTCCCTTCTATATCCTCACAGCAATGAAAATATTCTTGGTGCATGAAAGAGTGGTTTGAATTATACCTGAAAAAGTGCAGATTTGTGACTGTTGCAACTGAGTGGCTAATTTAGGAGTTGGCAACAGATGGCTCACAGAGCTTTTGGATCTGGCCCAGATCAAACTGTGGCTTCAGCAGCTTTCAGTGGCATGGGCTGGGAATGGCTGGTGTGGAGAAAACTTACCTGAAGCTGGAGAGAGGCCGCGGGACGCCGCGGTTCAAGATCAAAAGGAAAACCCATGGTAGAGCCGGGAGAAGCCAGGAACGGCTCCCACGTCTGTTTGGGTGCACTTTGTAAAAGTGTGCCAGGGGCAATTGGCCAAGTGGCCACCCAGCGCCGAGATAAAAAGGCCCGGCAGGAAGGAAGCCGGGGGAACAGGAAGAGGAGTTCCCACCTGGCTCAGAGAGGTTGAAGACGACCAAGTGGCCGGCAGCAAAGGAGATGTGGTGGCACCCCAGAGGGGAAACCATGGGAGACAAAGCGGGCCAGCTAGGGCCCAGCGAGTCACCTACGAGACCGGCGTGGGCAGAGGCCAGCAGCAGTGGTGATTGGGACACTGGCAAAGACAACGGAGCCCAAACCTGGATGCAGACAATGAGCAACAGGTACCGAAACTGGGGAGGGGGCAACCCATCAAGGGGACCCGAAGCCTGGGCAGAGGCCGACAGCCCGTGAACCAGGGAACACTGAAGGGCGGTGGTCGATGCTCAGTGCCAGTACCATCTGTAGCCCACAGCCACAGCCCTTAAGAAACCGAGTGTTAGTGAGGGCCAGAACACCGGCCCTGACGAATAACATCACAATTGGCGTTAGGCGGGGTGTAGGGGAGGTGGAACCCTGAGAAACAATAATCTCGAGGCTGACCAAGGGGGAGTACTGGGGACGTGGGATCAAACATCTTCCTCCCGCTAAAAGAACCAATCAACATCAAAGATGTAGCAGGCGAGACCCCTGGGGGAGCTGACCCAAGGCCGCTCCCAGTAGCCTGGCCATGCAACCCAGAAGGCGACGGTGAGGTTCGAAGGAGACCCAGACGTGCTACGCTCAGGGGGAGAGGCACGGAAAGCTACAGCTGGGATCCTGAGTCTCTGGTGGAGGGGGAGCTCTGCTCATGCCACACTGCAGTCAGTTGGCATGGGCTCTGGTGAATGGGGGCTTTTGCTGTGCCACGCTGCAGCTGAATAGTAGGCCACCTACTTATGACCGAAGTTGGGTCATTCCAGCCCCCCTGCCAGAAAATGTTGCCAACCCCTTTTCCATACATGCTTTGTAATAACTTTCCATAACTGTTACTGGGTTTTATTTTGCCTTCAGCAGACCAACATGGTGCGCATGTAAGGGGAAAGTTATCTGAAGGCCCTTGCAGGCCGTTTATACACCTCACTTGATACATCAGTAATCCTAGGGTATTGGTCAGAGGATAGACTCCGTTACCTTTTCTGCAGACTTGAAGAAAGGATTCTGACGTAGCCATGACTTCTATTTGGTCTTCAATTCCTGACTGACTGAGCTTTTCAGTCATATACGGGGAAACTTTTTCTTTATTTTTTTCTTTGCATAAATTTGTTAGGGAAGATACTTTTCAGGTACAAACCCAATTAGCAGAATTTGTTAATTTAGAAAGAGCACATGGATACCTTGGTCATATATTCCTCTTGTAAAGAATAGGTTTCTTTAAAAAAAAAAACAGTTATGTGTACACAAGGGTAATACTGCCAATCAAATAGTTTTATATGATTCTATTAAGATAGGCAGCTACTTTATGGTGATATATTAACTTTCAAATGGATGTTTTAGCAGAGCTTCATCAACTCTGTACCATTTGTTTAGTTCTGTACCACTTAGGAGAAGCAAGGCACTTTTTCCACATGACATTTATAACAACATATGAACTTTATTTTATTCCATGCTGGAAAGTACCCTGTCTATTTACAATTAATTTGGGAAGTGACACCATTAAGAGTCAGCTAGATCTGGCCTTCCATAACATATCACAGGAAGGGGAAGATGAGTGGTTGGGATTCTGCATTTACCATTTCTGTATTAGGAAAAACGATGTCTTCTTTTTCTTTTCACAAAGTAAACGTGCTGATTCTAACTGCAAGTCTTCGATTAAATACACTTACAGCTGTATTACTATAACTGTTACCTACAAAGCTGTAGGTCTATGAAGGAGCTTTGTTTTGTCAACTTAACTTACACAGTTGGTGACTGAGCTTTTAATACTAAAGCAACACACTTTTCTTAGCAATAATGATGAATATTAATTAACCACCTTAAACTTTATTGCTTAAACTAACCAACAACATAAGGACACTGCATTCAACACATGATGAACTTTCAACTGTGATGTTAAAAAATGTTGTTAACATTAAACTCACTTGAAAGGCACTGTGTAAATTGCATGACTCACATCCATACATGTATGGATAAGAACCATAAATATAGGCAAATGTCAGAGGCAGAATATGGCACTATATAGTCCACGAGGCATTCTAGTATGTATGGCAGTTATATGTTCTTAGGATACGCTGAAAAATAGTAACTCAAACATACAAAAGCTCAGAAAATGGAGAACATTGCTTAGAAAGAAAAATTACACCACTGCCTGAAAGAGAAGCATTTCTGAAACAGGGCATCACATAGGACATTACTGTCACAGGAAAATGGTATCATACCTAAACACTTTAAAAAAAATTTAATCCAGTGGACATATAAAGAAATGGTGATAGTAGAAGAGAACGAGGGAAGTAATATCAAATATTTAGGGTAAAGTTAGCCAGATAAGGTCCTTTGTTTCACAGATCCGATGAAATCTGTAGTAATCAAAACCATTCCAGCAGCAAAAAGCACATATAGATGTTCCAACCCACTTCCAGGAGGTCCTCTTGTGTGCATGTGGATGTAAGAATCTATCTGGCACCATCTCAAAGTCTGGTGTTTCCTAGAGTTTTCCATTGGCAAATGCTGCCTCCTGGAACTGAGGTACAAATGTTTTGAAATAAGCCCTGGTGGGAAAAAGAAAGCTAATGGTTAGCAAGGAACAAACTCAGAACGTGCGTGTATGTGCGTGTGTGCGTGTACGTACGTGTGTGCATGAGTTTGCCCTGTCTATATTTAAGAACCAAGAAAACAAAAAACCCCAGGAAGCAAAAGTTAGCCAAATCCATGCTTAGACACACAAATAAATGGCCTGATTTTCAGAAGTCTGAGTAAATCGCTGTTTCCACCTTTTAATTTCAGCAGTGACTATTTTTTGATAGATTGATTACAGTCACATACAACATTTTTAATGTGGTCAATACTAATGTCCTCCTCCTGTACCAGCGAAACTCTAGATTCCATTTCAAATTTTATATATCCCAGAAATCCTTTAGTCTTTCAGCCAAAATATTTTCTAGGGCATTTCAGTGAATCATTCACAATTGTTCCCCTTTTACCCCTTTTTCTTTGTATTTTAATTCCTTTAGTTTTCATATAGCAGTATTTTAGATCCAGAGATAGTGATGAACACTGGAAAATGGGGTTATGTCACTGGCTGTGACATTATATATTTGATATTCCACATTTGAAGCCTAACATACATTAGTTGAATTTATTCAGTTTTTGAAAAAGCTTCATATGTGGCACCTCTGGCGCAAACAAGTCACTTAGAGGAAGTCAAAGTATTGGAAATGGATAAGCTCTTTATTTGCCTTTTTTCAGGAACTTGTACGAAATACAAGGTTCACAGAGATGGTAAAACAGTTTATATTAGCTTCATTTTATTCTCCATAATGAATAAATACTAACACTTTAAATGGTCTGTAACCATACTTGCTACTTAAAAGAAAAGTTTTCTGAGAAAGTTTGAAATTCTGATGAATCAGTCTATAAATGAGGGTGTTAGTTTCACTGTCTTTAAAATGAACTGAGTAGCTTTTTTAGCCTATAAAATGAGTCTATTTTATGCTGGTTTGTAAAATAACTTTGGGTTTATTGCACTCCATCCCTCAAATCTGTACCAACAGCAGACATATTAATTCTGAAATGATATGCTGCTCAAAATAACTTAGTTGCAAGGGATGTTAAAGGCAGTTAAGTTTCAGTTCTACCATTCGGTGCTTTTACGTATTGATCATTCTCCAAATACTGAACTCTTAACCTTTTCTTTCCTATTTTAAATCTACTTTTCAGTCTGTATCACACAGTATTTTCTTGGTGCATTTCTGAAATAAGATGCAGTGAACATTATTTACAGGTATTGCTTATGTCTACTGGTATGAAAACAATAAATGCCAAGAATTCCAGGGATTTCATCAGGCACACAGACATGCTGAATATCTCCACAGTCAATCAAGAAATCTAATTTCATAACATGGGCAGAAGACCTAGCTGCCACTCAACCTCAATTACTCCTCCCTCAGGCTTGAGATAGTACATGCTGTAAGATCAGAAAAGGGAAACCTCTTCATCTGCTTGTGACAATGTGCCTGATAGACTCATTAAGCTGCAGTAACAATAAATTTGCATAAGATGTGTGAAGCTACATGACATGCTGACCAAAGGCCAGATGAGCAGTGTAAAGGAGCAGTATCATAAATGGCTTGGGGAATTTAGCATCGTATATTGGACCTAAGAATGATCATGAAATAAGAGAGAATGTTAGCCAATTTGATGTTTTATAAAGTACAGAGAAGCTCTTGGGCTAAGTACAAACAGTCAAAAGCCAGAGGCTGAATTGATTCAGTCCTTGCATGTTAGGCTAAGTTGTGTAAACTGAACTGAGAAGCAAGTGAAAAGACATTCACTTTTGATTCCAGAAATGCAGGCACATGCCTGCAGTGGCCCAGGCCAGAAGCTGGGGAACCTCTCTGCTTGGCTGGAGAGGACAGCTTGGGGCAAGGCTAGCCTGCCCACCCTTCAAAGAGGGACTTGCAGGGAAGGTGCAAAGCATCGTGGGATGCCAGGGGAATGTGAGTTAACTTGACTCTGAAGAGGATTTGGGACAGAAGTTCAAGAGACCAATTTAACCTAAATCAGTTAAGTCTGATACTATATCCATTCAGGTTTATCTTAAACCGACCGGTGTTGGCCATTTTGAAAGCAGTTTGTGTGAATGAACTTCTGTTGTGTTACAGATCTGAACCAGTTTCTGATCACTTATACCAGTTTATGTGTAATTTTTGTCCCTAGCCTTGATGCACAAAATTCTGATGCAGCTTTTAGGACTGTTTGCAAAATGACTGCACCTACAGGCACTCAACACTCACATGTGTGTGTGTAAAGCAGCTACATGTGTCATCACCTGATCTACATGAGCAGCTATGGGTTTTGTACTTTTTCATGGTTAACGTTTGAAAATATAGCCTATTGCAATGTCATGGCCAGTTTGGCACCATGGGGCTCTCTCTCACATTTTGTCAATTGCAGTATCTCTGTCATCCACTTAGCAGTTCTCTCTGTGTTACTCGGCTTAATATTGAATTATATTTCCTTTGCTTGCTTCATTTAAATGGATTCTTCATTCCCCTTTGATGGATTCTCTGTAGAATCTCCTCCTATATTTGCTCCCTTCTTCGCCACCTCCAGTTCCGATAATCCAACAAAAAACCTTTCCTTCCTAAACAGGTTTTCAATCTGATGGACATAAAAGAAAGTATTTCTATATTTTCTTTTATGAAATACACTTTCCCTAGAATCTCTAGTAATTGTGTTGTATTAATAACACAACTGTATTAGCAACACAGTAACTGTATTACTTCTCAATTTGCTTGCTGCTGTGGCATGATTCTCAGAATGAAGCTAGTGACACTAAGTACCTACTTCTCATGCCATCTTTATCTGCATTTAAACTTTTCCATCTTCTCACCATTCTTGCATATATACTTATTCCTTCTGCTCCAATAGCAATTTCAACTCCTCCTTACAGTCTGACCCCCTGTACTATTTCAGCAAGAACATTACATCTTTGCTTGTTTAGATCCCACTTGGAGAGATCCCACAAGTTCACAAGTGAGTTCAGTACTTCACAACGGTAAACGACATGATTCTTTCCTAATGTATTTTGGCTTGGCTTCTACTTTGTCATTTGTCTTATCCAGAATGAGACACAGGTAATATCAAAGACAATAACCCAGGATGTTTTTTTCCATCCGGGTATGCAAAATAAGAGAAATTATGAAAACTGACTTAAGTGGATGATTATTCATCATACTTTCAGTTGCTGAAGAAAGAGACAGGAAACCTGCAGAAATTCAGTAGTATCACACACTTAGTGCAATGAGATAAGATGGTTATTTTAGCTGAAGGATAGTGGACATAGTAGGGCAGGGAGACTTGAAACAGTGAGATGAAAAAAGGTTAAGGCCCTGGTGCAAATCAGTGTTTCAGCTCTGGGAACAGAAAGGAAATGCCAAATTTTAGATACTTTAGCATCAGGACTTATCTAGAGCCCCTATATGGGGAGAGGAAAAAGGAAGGTGACAAATGATTCAGATTGTTAGAGCTGGTTGAAAATTTTTCTGCCAAAATGATTTTAACAGAAAATGTAGCTCCTGCAAAACTGAGTTTTGATTTTGGTGAAATGTTTCAATTTTTAATCAGAAAAAAAATGAAATAAAGTATTTGGTTTTGAGTTGGTTTGACCTGACTTGAAACATTTTGGTTGTTGAACTGAACCTCAACAGGTTTTTTTTTGGTTACCTTGACATTATGCTATTAACCTCAAGTGACAGTGCTTTATGGAACCTGAAATCCAAGTATTTAATGTCCCCCATTCTCTCCTACAAGCTAGAGCCCTCAAACCAGACTACACATCCCATGATATACTTGCAGTCTTCCATCACACCAAGCAATATGGTGCACTGTGGCAGTCATAACTGTAAAATATAAAAGGAAATGCAGTCTGACCCAGGAACTCAGACCATAGAGAAGAATAACAGCATTAGGCACAAACATAACTCTCACCCAGCATGATGTAGTTTAATATTAAACTGACTTGAAACATAACACTTCAACATTTCCCGACCAGAATTTGTCAGACCTTTGTTCCACAATTTTGATATTTTGACTTTTCCTCCCAACTTGGGACAAAACAAAAGTAAAAATATTTAAATGTTGTGTGAAATGGATATTTTGATTTTTATTTAGCTCTAGAGATTATTAACCCTCAGGAGCAGAAAGCTTCATGTCTTTGCCCACTGACACAGGTGAAGTGTACTGAAATTCATGCAAACCTTTTAAGTTAATAATATAACACAGCTGAAGAATACGTTGCCCTACAGTAAGATGATAATGTCTGTATTATAGATTCAGTCTGAATTCTAAAGATTAATTTAAAGAAATGAAACCAAGTAAATGAAAGATGCTGTGCCAGTCTAAACTCTTTTTACATAACAAATGGAAAGTGGGTTTTCCTCATGCTGATACAATTTGTTTTATATCGATCTGAATTTTAAAATGACATATAACCTTGCGTCCTGTACACACACACACACACACACACACACACACGCGTGCGCGCACACACACACACAACTACAGCATGTAACCAAGGTTTTTAAAGGGAGATTAACTTCCCATGATACCCAGTCATTTAAGTCCATTCATAAAGAATAACTTAGGGCTCTCAACAACTATAAACTTGAAGTGTGCTATGTCACAAAAAATATTGAGCAAAGTATTGCACAGCAATTACAAATGGCTTTTTTGTTGTTTTTACAATACTTGACTGTCTGATACTATTAACAGCTTCAAAAGTGTTTTGAAATCCTTCCCCTCCACACCCACTATATATCAGTTGTCTGATACTAGACAAGAGGGTGTTAAAAATAATGCAGTCATCCAGGTACCTGTTGAGTCACACTGAAGGTGCAAAAAACCTACTTTGAGACTGCTTGCTTTGTGGTTTCTCTCAGCTGAACCACATTGGGACTAGAGAGATTTTCTGAATTTTTTTCTTTCTGAGAAACAGTAAGTTCCCTTCTTTCCCTGATTTTACTTCCCCACCCCCTCAGTGGCTCTGTGT